AGATAAGGGCGAGTACGACAGGTGTCTAAAAAGACACAGCCAGTGTTGTGGTGGTTCCCGAGTATTCAGGCAGAATATGGAAGCCCTTCATCCGCACAGCTCCACTCACTTGCCATGAAACGGATCGTTGGCTGTAACAAATCTGGTTTGAATTACGAATTGGTAAAAGTATCACAAAGCATTATAAGTTGATATGCATGACTGCTGACCCATTGTTCCAGGCGTGAGCTAACTCGATTAAATTTGCCCTAATGGACCTGTGGGTAAAGGATATCCTTCGTTAGTGTTTAGTACCACACTTCACTACACAAACACTGCGAGATGAATATCTATTCCACGTGCGCTGTCAGGTCCTGATTCGTCTTACTGTTTCACAGACTTATGCGTGGTGCTTGCTGTGGCTTAGCAATTTCCCCATTAAAGTTGCTTTAGGTGCCTGATCCGCACTTTCAGTTGGAAGCAGGTAGCTGATGAAATGTGGTAGTAAGCCGCTCTGCGGGCACAAATCTTACAGTAAAACTCATGTGTATTCTACTGCCTTGGATTCTACGGAATGCTGGTGGCTCGGGTCGTGTGGATAACCGCTAGTCTGTTTGCCACGGTTCTTGCAATCATTTTGTCCAGAGTTGTAGCGATTTCATTAGTTAGTGGCGGGAAATATGTGTGTCACTAACCAAACGTTCTTAAACAAACTAACCAGCCATATTGATCTTGTTTTATCTTGTGCGCATTTCTAATTCTGTTTTCGGCCTTGTCTATCCGAGGTTTTGGGTACAACGTCTTGTAAAGCGTTTATTTCCAGAATCTTAGGCTTCCTGCCTCATTTTGTGAAAAATTTCTCACTGAAATATCAACTAATGTGGAAGAACGCAGTGGAGGAAAGTTACACACTGTGCTGCCTGCTATCCACATCGGTTACGTTCAGTTAGACTTCATCTCCGAACACCGCCGCCACGGCAAAGTGTCCACGCTACGGACCCGAAATACTTGAGGCTCGAGATTTGAAAATGACAAGTGTCTGTTGGGAAAAGCTTGATCATACTACTTAAATTTCACTAACTCAAACAGCATTTTCACGGTCTATTTTCCTCGTATTGTTCCTGAGTGGCCTTCATTTAAATTCAGACAACAGAACATTTGTTGGTAACATTCACTTCTTGAAGAAAATGTCGATTAGCACACATTCGGTACGCACATTAAGTAAACTAACACTTAGAATGTTAAACTGACTTCTCAAAGGGCGTTTGAATTCTTATCGACTTCCATTTGTGACCCCATGTTTCTGTTAGCATCTGAAAAAGTATGGTGAAGTCGATTTGTCAAATGCTTAGGGCGAAATAACTTAAACGCTTTGGAGGAATTCTCATCAGCTGTATAAATTTGCAATCTGAAGGCGCGTGACTGACAACAACTCTGGATGGATGAATGCCCAGTAACTCATGCCAATACTGCGAAACTGGCATAATACCACTTGATCAGAGAAGATGACTTAGGATACGGACAAAGTACAAAATACCAAATTTTATCTGTACAATGTACGCATTATTCGGTTTCAACAAACAAGTGAACATATACAACTAAGTGGACTCAGAAAACATACCTTAGATGGGGTCATAGAGATTCAAATGGAAAATTTAGCTCTTGAGTGGAAGATAAACCAGCTATACAGAAATTCTTGGCTTTTTAGTGTAGGTTGATTTCGTCTGCAAGATGAAACGTCGATTAGGACTTCATAATCCTTCTCAGTACCTACAAATTATAAGTAGTCTGCCGAAGAAGAAAGCAGCCTTTATAAGAAGTCTGCTCGAAAGACTAGTTGGCAATGAAACACGTGACATCAACTGCATAACTGAAATATAGGCAACACCATATCCTGTCACGCTGTTGATCCGCCCCTTTTGGCAAAACAGCTAACCGGAAGGTTGCATAAATCTCCGAGTGATGTGAACTACCAATCCGGACATTGTGGTCCGTGAACATTTTCTGCCTCAGATGTTTGCACTTGGTAGTTCTCTGGACCCGGATGAATGAGACTGGATGCACGCAGGGTTAGGGGTCGGGAATGTCCAAGCTCTCAGATCGACCGACGGTAATCGATATGATAACACAAGTAAAAAACCAAGCCTGGTTGATCAGTCGACCGGGAGTTCCACGATCTCATATGGACTGAACTTTGGTGCGTAGGAATTTGCAGGATAAGCAATTAAAGCAGAAACAAAATGGTTCCTGTGAGGAAATTCCGGGAGTATTCGTCAGTACAAACAAAGAAAAACGCTTAAATGGTTTGCACCATTAAGGGACATTTCGCCATTTCCTTGAATCACCGCCATACTCACTTGGCTCAGTTGTTAACTTTAATTGCACAATTGTTCAAACGGGTAGACGTGGATTCATTTTTACGCGTCCTATAAGTGCGAGATAAAACTGCCTAGTTGCGTGAAATGTTATATCATCTGAGGAAACCATTGTTCTTCCTCTCTGGATAGAATTATCTTTTAACAACATGTGTTTATTTGACAAAATATCGACTTCAGATTTTGTACTGTGACCTCCGTGGTCTGACATCTTTTTGGACAGCTTTCTATTGACGCTGTTCTTCAAACGGATCGAGACTGGAGGACTGAGACGCTCAGAATCGTTCCCAACGAGGTCAAACAACCGTAAAGTTCCCTCCGGTTTCGTAACGAATGCTGACTTTAATTGACATCGACTTCAGCTGCCCTGTGACGCAGACACAACCCATAGCTAAAAGTAAAATGCAGTGAATACTCCATATTTGTTGTTGTCCGTCGGGCAGTCTGAGTCTGTCGTTTATGCAATCCAGTTGAGTCTGGTTAGCAGCAAATTAGTTTGCAGATGAGTGTATAGTTTCCTCAACGAACAATCTGATGTTGAATTTGGTAGTAAGGTGAAAAATAGTTTGGGAACATGCCTATCTGATGAGCTCCAAATGGCGTTGGAAGATGGTAGGGCTTAGTGGGTGGATCTTTACTCGAGTTGGCTGACTGTAACGAAGCCCACATTAGCATTTCTGTTAACCAGTATCACAAACACTGCGTCTAAGTTGTGTCGTGCCTAGCACAAACTCTGGGAGAATTAGTTATTACACAACCCGTTCATTCCGATTTCATCCCCTTCGGGCGATGAAGGGAGTACTGGTTCACTTGAATGCATACAAACACCACATGAACCCCGCGGACGGCATATTGTCTGTTTTGACGAATAAGATGAATTCTACTTCCTCCATAGCAAATACACAGATATGTGAACCTAACATCTACATTGTTTATATTGTGATTCTTCTAGGAGGGTTACTTTTCAACACCGCTTATTTGTTCTAAGGAACGCCATTTCTCATGCTTCACTTTTTAAGCCAAGCCACTCGACATGACCGTGAAATGTTTTCTAGGCTACTGATAAAGGCAAACGAACCCTGATTACAATAAATCCAGAGTGTACACTAAACGGTGACCATTACTTGCGAATAAGACTGTTTATATGTGGAATTAGTAGATCTTTCTCCAAACCTTATTGAAACCAGCCTTGTACCGAAACAGAACGATTTGTTCATCAATCAACTAAATGATATCAGCTCAGTTTTCAAGGCAGTCAATGCAGTCACATCGTGAAAAGAGTTACTACGGTGGATACTAGTGATGAGGCATGCGAGTTGTGTTCACTCGTAAATCCGCTACGCGTCTCTTGAAAAGTGGGATCTATTACGGATTTTGTGGAATCGCTTTGTGGCATCTGAGTATCAGTCAATGAATATCAAGGAAAGTTCAGAAAGACGCGTTCAAGGAAAAGATGGATATTCAGTTTTGTAAACAAGATGCTTATGAGAGCTTTGTTCTTCTGTCTAATAGTCTTTAACTGTTCACTTGACGTTTCTCTAATAAACAACTCCGCAGAGAAGATCTTCCTTTTACCCAGTCGCAAGCCAAAGTAGCCTGGTTTTGTATCTATTTTTCTGCAAGTTTACCAGCTAGTAGGTTTGCACACGCACAAAAGTTGAATCCGAAATTCGGTTGCAGTTTCTACAAAGTCAATAACTGGTTAGACAGTAAGTCTCTCACAGACCAACTTCACTCTTCTAGCCCTTCCTTTCTCCGACGTTTTCACTAAAAACACGTCGAACAAAAAACCTCACCACAAATTTTTTGGAACCCTTCAACGCGTCTACCACCATGAAGAGTCAGTATACGCAAGCGTTCCCTGTTTTATTTTCACAAGCACCCCGAAAATAAACTAAGCGACTGAATTTACCATGATCTTCTCTTGTCGCATACCGGAATCACGTTTGAACCGCACTGCACATAAACACAACAATTCAGGATGATAAACAAACCAGGTGCAACTTTACGTGATCGTTCAGTAAACTTTTGAGTCCGCTGTGTGTGAAACAAGAAAAAAACCCTGACCCCTCCCTTACGAGTGCTACAACCAAGCCTGAATGGATTTGATCATTATCGGCTGTGCACCCGTGTGTGCATAACCCAAGCACCTGGACCCCGTTACGGTCATTCACTCCTCCGCTAATGTTACCTGCCCTGGGTCACGCAGTTTTCACATATCATACATTGAAATCTTCGGAAACGCTCTTCTGAATAAACCGAACGTTCGGAACAAATGTATGCTCTCAAGGTGGGATTTTGTCGACAGGGGGTAGTGGTTCATATCTCCCACCCCAGTTTGCAAGGGAGTCGACAAATAACAGCTGGAGAGTAGCAACCCCTTCGTTTTCAGTTTGCGTTCTACTCGAGAAGCCATGCGTCTGATTCGAAAGAAAATGATGGAAAGTGGGGTGTGTAGTGAAACAGAAACTCTCACTCGGGTCAACAATCTGTCATTAGGAATCCGCTTTTCCGGCAGCTTAGAGGTTTCACTTAATGTACTGCTTGGTGGAGTCCTTCAGTCGACACCGAAAATTGTGTAAAAAATGTCGGTAGAACAATAAAAAAGTTTGGATTAACTGTTTTAACCTCCTTAGAACATCTCAGGCAAATCCTCATTCGGCCTGGAGAACTCCTGATTTTCTACTCGAGATTCTATCTTATAAAGTTACAATCTCAGAAGAATATCCATTAAGTAAACTAAACTTATGGCCCAAAAGCATGACGTCTGAACATTGGCATAACGGCTACGAAATCGAATCTAATGAACAAAGGGTTAAATGTACTTTTATGGTCTATGGTAGAAAGCTCAGTGGTGATTGTAGCGGTGTTGAACAGGTGAGTCTAGCGATCTGCTGAACTCATGGTCTGAATTTCGATACCAGTTGACTCCAGTTTTTTTGGTAATGTTGTGGAATGTAGGTAACTTTGGTGCGCTGCTTCGCTGTTGGTCCGTTGACCGAGCTTGGCAGTCGGATTGCAAACGTTTCCTCACCAGTCGAGGTGACATCGTTAGTGCGGGGTAGAGTTTGGTTGGCTGGGAATATAGAAAGTTGAACTGGCAAATGGTCTGTGTATATCTGTCACAAACATTGGTTTTTATTCCTGGGCGCGATCACTGTAGTCTTTTGGTTGCTCACCTCAATTCCATCATCTATTGGTCAAGCTAGTTTCAGTACTGCATTTGGCTAACGGTAGCATTTAACCTAACTAAAGAAAAACCATTAGATGGACAAAATTACAACTCGGCTGTTGGAATTTCGGGCTATCGGGACTTCTTTCCTAGTCATCCGATTACTAGTTGGAATGATCCCATCCCATTTCCCATCATCAAACCACTGAAAAATATTCTTCTGGACCCATTAGACCCTAATTAATGGAGAAATGAAGAAAACGGCGTGATCACAGCTTACAAATAGTTCTTTACAAACGAACACTGGTTCGAATCAATCACAAAAATTAACATTGAGTCTGCTATACCTTAGTGAGCGCTAAAAGCTAGGAACAGAGGTGAAATAACCGACTTTTTATCCATATATTTTGGGGATTATTGTGGTTGGATGTAAATCTCCCCTGTTCAGTGCCTAACTCTGAGCCCTAGTCCCAGCTGAATGGCACTTTTACCCGCCGCTACTTTGTATGACCTTCTGGGTCGACAGTCCGAATCGCCAACAATGCTATGGGCCGGCCAGATATTAGTCGGGATCTGTACAGGTCGGCCCATGGACTGACTGACCAAGGTGCATCCACTGATTACGAACTGTTAAAGTCATACTGACCTCCGTCTGTCACGTGACCTATATACACCCACACCACTAACACATCTTAGCGCGAGATAACAGAGAAGTCTTGAAACATAAACAGTGTTCGTGTCACGATTGCTAGAACGCTACGAGTTAGGATTAAAAAGTAGGCATCAAGGGCGCAATCCTCACAGAGTTTTGAAGCATTTGAAAGCAAATCTCCATAATTCGGTGTCTATCTTAGTCTGTCTCCGTAACCTAGTTGGAGCTAAGTGACTATCATTGGCGAGGGAGTATAATTATTCCATAAGAATTCCAACTGAACGAAGACGAAAGGAGATGTTGATTTTGATTGGATCCCTAGCTAAGCCCTCATTGAGTCATTTTTGCTATTCTCATAGACACTCATTAAAAATTCTAAATGCCACATGGCCTATTTTCTTCAACTGAATCGGCTTGAACGAGTTGGCATCTCTGTATTGAGATGGTAGAAGGCTTCAGTCAAACAACAGAGTCTTTCCCGTTTCAAGGAATCCCCTTTAAGTTTGTGGCGTCCCAACTTCCAAAGCGGTACAATCACATTCTGTATAATTTAGAATTTTGACGACTAGTTTCTACGACGTGCGAAAACAACCCTAACAGTGGATTGCCCAGTCCGAAGTATTTATGGGCTTTGATCTACACACACCTGAAGATTTGGGGCGATTTTCAATAGTTTTCATGTGAGAATGATGCTGGAAATAGCTGCGGTGATACATGCATTTCCGTTGTCCCCTGGAGTCGTATATTTCGTTGTGGGTAGTTGGAATGCGGAATATTTGGTCTGATTAAAACATCAATCCAGAAGAAAACCAAATTATTCCACTTCCATTACCGTCAACCTTCGAAAGCTTCCTGATTCCGTTTGCACACACGGATTCAAGCACAAAGCTCCATGGAAATTTGATTTGTTTTACTTTGACTAGTAAACCATCTTTTGTCACGAACGGGGAGAAGTTGGAATCACTAGACAGTTTAAAATTCATGCCAAAACTTTTTTCCGGTTACAATAACCACAGAAGCATGTTCTTTTGATGTACACTGTCCACAGTCACCGAGAACAAGGTGCAAAGATGATATGATAAGACACAAAGTGCTTGCATAGCTGACGGCAATCAGTCGTGATATCCTACAGAATGCTATCAATTTCTATCCTCTTTGTAGGCGGGATCATGGTAAAAGAGGGGTGAGATTGTGCTTTGTGTAATTTAATCACCATGGTAACATGACCTCATGGCTGAAATGATCACATTCAGAAAGAATTGAAAACAGATGTCTAGAGGCTTTTAAAACAATGTATGGATCACGACGCTGTTAGAAGTCTACGATGACCTTGGTTTGCTTTATTTGGTTACTGGTGTCAGAATCGTAGTGCTCACTGTCTTGTTTTTCGGGCATTATGGTAGCTTTCACGGTGCATCGCTTGGTCGTAGCATTTAAGACTACAGGCAACAGTTCTCCTTTATTTCTTCGACTATTTATAGTAGTGATACTCAACATTGCTTTCCCTATTTATTCCTCTAGACGAACAGTCACAGACCACCGTCCCTTCCCGAAATGAGATTACTAAAACTGGATGTCGCTTGTGGCGAAGAGGATTCATCTGCAACTTGATTGGGAATTAATAGGCAACTCAAGTGAGTCCAAAATGAGTTTCGAATTTATAAAGTTGTCTACTAAATTTCATAAAGGACGGACTTCTTCTGCTTCAGTTTGTACGACATTCGAGATGTGAAAGCATGACTTCTTGACCATAAATTTGCCCACAACCCTTCGACAGCTCAATGCATATTTCAGCCCAATTAAGTCTCATCAGGTGGGAGACTATGCATCCCTGATGAGCTCCAAGAAGGGAAAAACCGGTTGTGGGCTGAGGAAAAGTTTTCAACAACATTATGAATGGTGTATTACAGATGTCTTGTTATTTAAACAGCGTAAAACGTAATTTCAGTCGATACCTCAGAGTCTCACTACTAAACGATTGGATCCTTCTCGGTTAGGATGCACTAATGTGTGGAGATAAAGCGTCTTCGGCGATTAGAATGTATATATGACTATGCAGAGCGCTCACAAGTTTACTTGATTGGGAATTAATAGGCAACTCAAGTGAGTCCAAAATGAGTTTCGAATTTATAAAGTTGTCTACTAAATTTGCTGCATAAAGGACTTCTTCTGCTTCAGTTTGTACGACATTCGAGATGTGAAAGCATGACTTCTTGACCATAAATTTGCCCACAACCCTTCGACAGCTCAATGCATATTTCAGCCCAATTAAGTCTCATCAGGTGGGAGACTATGCATCCCTGATGAGCTCCAAGAAGGGAAAAACCGGTTGTGGGCTGAGGAAAAGTTTTCAACAACATTATGAATGGTGTATTACAGATGTCTTGTTATTTAAACAGCGTAAAACGTAATTTCAGTCGATACCTCAGAGTCTCACTACTAAACGATTGGATCCTTCTCGGTTAGGATGCACTAATGTGTGGAGATAAAGCGTCTTCGGCGATTAGAATGTATATATGACTATGCAGAGCGCTCACAAGTTTTGACGCAATGTCCTTTCGGAATCGCTATTTATACTGGTTTAGTTGAGCACAAAACAACTTTAAGTTTATAAGTGCTATTTGTGTCAGCAATAATCTCTATTGGAATGGAATAGTTTTTTTTCCAATTTCGCTTTCGCCGCCAAACTGAGACTGCAAAAAAGGTTGTTGGGCAGACAATTTACCAAATTGATTAAGTCTCGTGCTGTTCATGAACAGAATACCGTACAGTAAAAAAATGTATAAACTTTCCACAAATAATACTCATTTGCCTAGTCACACAAGAGACGAGCTTATTGGTTCATGCATGAGTGAGTGGTGAACTGAGCAACTCAACCGGTTTACTGCCTGCGAGGCAATCAAGTGGTCTGGTGCCCTGAAATTCCCACAATTAAGCGTGATCGGAGAATGAATCAAGCTGGTCCTTAGCAAACTTTATCCGACTGAACGATTCCACCAAGACGCAGAACTGCTGATTGAACGCATCGCTCCGTGTTGAAGCAGGTGAAACAAGTAAATATACACGTTCTTTGGCTTGTTCAATTAACGGTCAGTTGATTAGGAGTAGCCAAACTATCATTCTTGACCAGCCACATCCTCTACCAGTTCAACCACAAATTTTGAGTGGCACGTGCACCTGCGATAAGCATTAAAATTAAAAACACCATCCGCCTACTTGTAGCTCAAGCGAATCCAGAAGCCACAAGGTTGAATGGACGATTAAGCAAGGGAGCATGAATTTTCTAAGCAGACAAATCCTCATTCAAGTGATTTTTTTTCGGAAAAATTTTTGTTACGTGCCACTCCCTCCCATTGATAAAAGCCTCATGATTAGGAGAATTCTGCGAACGCTGGAAGTGAAAACGGCCAGATTGAATTTCCGCATCATTTCCTTATCCAATGACATTTACAACAGTCTGTCTGTCAGAGTTGGGCCGAGGTGGAGAACCGCGGACCAGCAGACCTATTAGAGGGTGGGAAGGATGTACCTCAGCTTGCGGAAAGTCTGAAGGGACATGACAAATAGGGACGCCATACTTGGATAGGTACAAGGGATACGATGTCATGGAGTCTGTTTTGTTTGTTTGTGGAAGTCTAGAAAAGTAAAATTCAGTCCCTAGTAGGGTAGTGTAGACAGAACTAGTTTTTCGGTGTGGAATTTGTTTGAATACAAGGACGATAAATGGCTTAAGTCGGCCAACACCATGGATAAATAATGCTAGCACAAAAGACGATATGCATTACCCGTCTAGCTGAAATGGGAATGGGAGATAGTATGTTTGCTGGATGTGAGAACTGTGGTAGTTAAACCACTGTTAATTATATGACGTAATTATCTATGCTTCTCTATTCACCAAACTAATCCATTATCTTCTGGTGACTGCTCAAGTTTCAATTTTATTTTTATATTTTTGTATTTTATACAAAGTTGATTCAGTATTAGCTGTTTTTCTGTAATAACTGTTTTCAAGACTTGATTTATTCGCATTCATTTCTGGATCTGTTTTTGAAC